ACACACTCTAACTCCCCCTAGTGGTCTCCAACACACCTTCTGTGTTCACATTACTACAGGTCCTATCATCAATAGAACCGGCGAGCTCCTTTTAAACACCATCTGCAATATACTTCAGCGTATCATACCTTTGGTTTTTCTTAATAGGCAATAGCATTAGTATACCGCTAACCCATCAAAACAGCAATGAAACCCACTTTACAGTCGTGTTTATGTCATATATGTTTTTGTGCTTATTAAATTTAAGTGTTTCCAAAGATTAATCCCACAACATACAAAAAGATACGCATATAATGTTTAATCATTCGTTTTGTATTTGTTCGAGTAACAAAGCAATGGAATGATAACCTGCTTCAGTCGAAAACTGAAAAATAAAATTAATAAAAATAAAATGCAGGGTTGGCAACTTTGGTCAGCTGCATAGAGTGAGATTTTCTGTTTCCTGTTCTGCACACACATTTACATGTATGTAAGTTTTATTACCTTGTAAATAGTCTGTAGTGTTTGCAAACTGCCGTAACGTTTTTGATGCAGCTAATTTTAAGTTCAGAATGGAATATAGATTTGCTGTAAGATTTCTTGCGTGAGAGTCTGAGTTTGCAACCATGAACACGTAAATTTTTTGCCTCACCTGAATTGATTTGTATAGAAAATAACCGTAGGCTATACAGTTGTTAAAAAGCAGAAACTTCGACCAACATCAAATCACCAATAAACGACTTCTATTTATTCAACATTTTATAAAATGCATGCTACGTTTAAAAATTTCCAGCTTTACGGTTTCAGGACAGAACAGCCACTCTGTTATGAACATTATACGGTGTTAGTGTTAATAATAACAGCAGCTAACAACACAATAGCGCAAACAAAAGGGCTGCATACACCGAAGTAGTTCTTGCTTGTTCATTGTCGTGGGAAAGGGCGGTTCTAGTGTTATTAGGAGGGTAATAAGCGTTACCTGCAAGATCGCTATTTTTCTTTTTGCTGCGATTGTTTTCATTATTACTTTATTTAACTTGACACATCACATCTTTAAATTCTCATTCTTGCATTAGAATATAGACCAGTTAATACTGATGGTATCTCATGCTGCGTCATATGTTTTAAAATTACTACACACTGAATATTGAACTGAAGCTTGACATAAAAAAATTAAATCGCAAATCAAATCGTAATCGCAATTTCTGTCAGAAAAATCGCGATTCGATGTTTTTCCCAAATCGTGCAGCCCTAGTTTGGAGGAATTAATACATGCATGTACATGCAAATATAAAAAATAGAAACTTGTTCACTTTACAGGCTTGTTACTGTAATCATGGTCATGGAAATGTGCCCAAAAATCAGATTTCTATGCTGTTTTACTGTAAGATTTGTTCGACCCCATATACTCAGGTAATGGGCATCTGGAGAGAATATCAATTTCTAGTTTATGTCCACTTTACCACAACAACAGAGATGTATTGGGGACTGCATACATAGTGAAATCACACAGTTTCATGAGATTAGAGCAAAAAAGAAAAAAATGGTTTCTTCATATTTACATCTTTCATAATTAGGCTGAAAATACAAGTTTCACTTCAATGTCGGGAAGCTCTTCATGGTGATGTCTTACATCTCTGACAGTGGGGCTACATTTTATATTCCGATAGAATGCCTGTGCAAAGTTTGAAAAGGATCCTTCAAGTACTTCTTCAGTAATCATGCTAATGATAAAGTATCAAAACTGCCCTCTTTTTTATCACTATGCAGTGCTGCCATAATTTTGGTAAGATCTGTTTGAAAAGTTTCAGATCATCACCATCACAATGCCGCCTCTTAGTTTGGAAAAGGTCCGTCAAATACTTTTTCAGGTAACATGCTGACAGAATCAGGTGTCTGATACCGTCCTTCACTTTGCTCTCACTATGCCGCACTGCTCCAGTTTTAGTGTTATTGGTCTCAAAATTTAATCACTTCCAGATATGAATCTGTTCAGGGTTTAATGTGGGCCAGAACAATCTAGAATGGCATTCCAGTACCTTCAGTTAATAAATAAATACATCTGATTGGCAGTTTCATACGTAATAATGTTACGAGAGTTTATTTTGCACGTGCCGCAGCCTGACATCCCTCCCCAATGATGCCATCAAGATTTTCACTCGACAAATCAGAATGTCACGGATATGTGTAATAATTAAGGTTTCCTTTTTGTACATCATTTTTATTTGGATTAGATGCGTGTACACCATTTTGAATTAATCCCTAGAATCTCAAACACGTGAACAATACATGAAATATACAAGAGACACCTTGGTGAAATGAAAGCTTTTTGACGAAGTTTGTCTCTGAAAAGGGACAATTTTCTGTGAAGGCTTTTTAGAAGGATTGTATTTATAAAACTAAGTCAGCTTTTTGTGCTTCATATTTTCATATTAATGTTGTTTTCTTCTTAATCAGAGAAGGAGAATGAAAAATGGCTGTAGGAGTGTAGAAGTGTCTTTGATATTTTGTTTGGTAAAATTATTTGTAAAATCTGGTAAAAAATGAAAATTACAGGGATGCTGAAAGAACCATAACCACAGTAAATGTTTTACTTTTATTTTCTGAAATATGAATTATTCAGAGATACGAATGTTTAAATATGTTTTAAAAGACATATATGTACATTTGACAATATTAAATATAAAGCTATTTAAGACTTTTCCTGTAATCTGGACACTGAAACCATAGCTTATCAAAATTCAAGCTTCACAAAAGATTAGTTATGAACATTCATTTTTCATGGCAGCTTTTCCACTCTCTTCTGTGTCCTCAGCTTACAGATCCCAGTGTTCAGCAGCGTATGGCGGCGTACTCAACGTCGCCCCCTGCTGGTGGCTGCTCTTGGGCTCTGTACTCAATGTCGCCCCCTGCTGGTGGCTGCTCTTGGGCTCCATTGGCGCTCATATTGGCATAGATGGGCTCATCATACAGACGCCTGCTCTTCTTAGTGAGTCTTCTTATTTCCGCATAGCTTATCTCCACTTGTTCTTCAGATAGCTGCCAAAAGAGGGAACACTTTCACACCCAGGCTTACCTTAAATCAGACACTTGCTGCCAGAGAAGCTGATATTCATACTTCTGATCTGGAGCTTTGGAAATAAGTGAATAACATGAGTCTGATACAAACAGAAATGCCCTCATTAGGTATTGGTGTATAAAACATGGCGACTACTGAACCTGGACAGTGTTACTTTGGGTCTGGGTCCTTCTTCTGTCTGAAAAGAGAAATAGAAATCAAAGAATGATTTAAGACTGATTTATTTTTCTTTTCTTTTTTTATTTTACATTGAAATCATCCATCCATCTGCTACCCTTCCCCCTAGAACTGTGAGCCGGCTGTTCCAGAAATAGGAAACCAAGAAGGCACCGGGACCAGACGATGTATCCCCCTCCTGCCTCGAAACCTGTGCTGATCAGCTGGCTCCCATCTTCACCCACATCTTCAATAGATCCCTGGAGCTGTGTGAAGTTCCCTCCTGCTTCAAACGCTCCACCATTGTCCCGGTCCCCAAGAAACCCACCATCACAGGACTGAATGACTACAGACCTGTCGCCTTGACGACTGTGGTCATGAAATCCTTTGGACGCCTGGTTTTAGCCCATCTGAAGGACATTACAGGACACCAGCTGGACCCCCTGCAGTTTGCCTACCGGGCAAACAGGTCGGTGGATGATGCAGTGAATATGGGGCTGCATTATATCCTGCAACATCTCAACCGGCCAGGAACTTATGACTGGATTCTGTTTGTGGACTTTAGTTTGGCTTTCAACACCATTGTGCCTAATCTCCTCTCCTCCAAACTCTCCCAGCTCAACGTGTCACCAGCTACCTGTCAGTGGATCACCAGCTTCTTGACAGACAGGAAGCAGCAAGTAAGTCTGGGGGAGATCAATTCTGAAACACGGTCCCTCAGTATTGGTGCCCCTCAAGGGTGTGTCCTCTCCCCACTGCTCTTCTCCCTCTACACCAATGACTGCACCTCCAGGAACTCAGCTGTAAAACTCCTGAAGTTTGCAGACGACACCACCATCATTGGACTCATTCAGGATGGTGATGAGTCTGCATACCGGCAGGAAGTTGAGCGGCTGGTACTCTGGTGCAGTCAGCACAACCTGTAGCTGAACACGCTCAAGACTGTAGAGATGACAGTGGACTTCAGGAGACATCCGTCAACACTGCTCCCCCTCACCATATCAGACAGCCCGGTGTCTACTGTGGAGTTCTTCAAGTTCCTGGGTACCACCATTTCCCAGGACCTGAAATGGGAGACCAACATCTCCTCCATCATCAAAAAGGCCCAGAAGAGGATGTACTTCCTGAGACAACTGAGGAAGTACAGTCTTCGACAGGAGCTGCTGATCCAATTCTACACTGCAGTCACTGAGTCTGTCCTCTGCTCCTCCATCACAGTCTGGTATGGAGCAACCACTAAGCAGGATAGGAACAGACTGCAGCGGACAGCAGGAAAAATCATCGGTGCCCCCCTGCCCTCCATCCAGGACTTGTACTGCTCAAGGACTAGGAAACGAGCAGATAAAATCATTTCAGATCCGTCACACCCTGGACACAATCTCTTCCAGCTCCTCCCCTCTGGCAGGCGCTACAGAACCACCAGTACACAAACACCACCAGACACAGGATCAGCTTCTTCCCTCAGGCCATCACCCTCATAAACAGCTAAGCTGTCATCTGCCTTCTGTAAATCTCCCCCCTGTTGCACTCTACCTCGCACCTTAATTGCACACTGTTACCCACGTGTGTATATATTTATAATATTTATAATTTTTCACATTTGTATTTCTTGTATAGTGTAATTTATTGTTTGTATAGTGTCGCTTATTGTCTGTGCATGAGAGTCTCAAGCTGCCGGAAACAAATTCCTTGTGTGCCCCAGTGCACTTGACGAATAATAGCTGATTCTGATTCTGATATAGTTATTAAGTATATGGTTCTGGGCCATATCAAATTAATTTAAATTCTGTTTTAATTTCTGGTGGGGGGGGGGGCATGTATAGTGTTAAAATGATGTTATTCTGAACAAATACACATGTAATACCCACAGAAATAGCTTTAAACGTCTTCTTTGGTTGTCGAAGGCTTGTGCACAGTATTTTGTGTTTAGTATACATTATAAATATATCAGACATAATGACAAGGTCAAAATCCAGAACATCAGTATCCTGGCAACCAGAATCAGAAATGGGCACATTGGAGATCAAAGTCAACAACCACACATGTTAAAACACAGGAGGACAGCACAGCAGACAATCAGCAAGTGAGTATGAAGAGCTTCAAAGGCTGTAGGGGACCGGTACCAAGCCTGGCGGTGGATGGCGGGAGTGTGGGGGACCGGTACCAAGCCTGGCGGTGGATGGCGGGAGGGGAGGGGGCGGTTACGAGGAGAGATCAT